AAGGGTTCCTGAGGTAACGAGTTTGGAAAACTTTATAGCTATGTTTTTGGTAAGAATAGAAACAAAGTAGTCGATCCTATGACCTTTTGCTTTTGAGTAGGCCCGCTGGCGCTGCGCTTCCCGCTTCATGGCCTTTTCCACAAAATCACGCCGCAGATTTTGAAAGCAGTTTTGAGCTGAACGTCTCAAGGATCATTTCGAAAGACTCATACGATCAAATGAATCTTCTTGTTAGAAAACTTAGGTTCACGTTCATGAATCAAGCAGCACTCACCTCCATGTTGTCGACCACGTCTTTCTCGCCCTCATCTCCAGCACCGCTCCATAGCTATAATAAGAAATTCCATGTCATACGAACTGTACACTAGTCCTGGAGGCTACAAGAAATGGTGAACGAAATAGTTCCCCTGCTAAAGGGATGTGAAGCTCGGCAGATTCCCAGCGAAATCTGCTTATTTTGGTTCTATGTTTGGTGGGTGTTTTATATCTCTACTGGGCATCTGAGAAAGGAAATATTAATTCATAGCTGTATTTCCAAAGCCACTATGCGCTTGTGAAATTTGCAACAAACAAAGCAATGACCACTGTCTTTGCACGAGCTTTAGTCTGGTGACATGTCTACTATGCAAACGTCTTGCTCCGATTTTCATTAGTACATTGTGGATAGTGACATCATGAAATCCTCCCTCTCAATGGGGGAGTTTATGCTAAAGTGTAGCTGCCAAAAGAATTTTGGTGAAGGTAATCATCGAAGAAATTGAAGGAAAGAGGAAGACTCACCATTTCACTCATTTTTGTCTTGATCACACCTGGAGCAATTGCGTTAACACGGATATTGTCCTTAGCCAGGACCATTAGCCAATGCCTTTGTGAGACCGAGTAGAGCGGTTTTCGTCACGGCATAGGCAGCAATGCCCTGAGCGTTTTTTTTTCAGATAACTAATTCAACGAGAATAGCAGTTTCAAGCCACATCAATACTCCCTGGTGAACCAATCTTGAAGTTCATAGAATTTTTAGTGCTTAAAGGCAAAAGTCGGGCTCAATAAGGGGGTATTATGGCGATTGAAACTGAGTATAGAGATGCGAAGTGGAACGACAGTGGAGAAAAAACTGAGAAAAACCGTCGACAAGGCCGTTAACAAAACCCTCTTTCCCACTAGCAGTGAAGGAGGCTGGCTTGGGAAAGAGGCACGTACAAACAAGTTTTCTGAGATGTCAGTCGTTCTATCGGTTGATACGGCAATCAACCTAGCTGATTTCACACGTTATGCCAGCCACGCACCACATCCCAAGGTGGGCGGTCGTAGCGGGGCCAGGCGGCGATAGCGCATAGTACATGCCCTGGGGCCTTATTACTGCGCCGTTTCGGGTTTTGAGTGTGGGAACATCTCTACGGGTGCGTAACCAAGTACAGGCATGACCGAAAGGGTTGGTTTGGTCAACTAATCCCGACCTTTGCCTTCAAAGAAGCGGATTACGATAAACAGGATGAGGCATCGAGGCTATATGCGTCACACGAAGCTCAGATTCGTTGGGCTGCTGGGCGCTTCCCTCACCCCTCTGACGGGTTGAAATATGGTGTGAAGAAGGGGGCCGCGAAAATTTTGCAAAAAGACCCAACGACTAGGGACGAACCCTGCTTCGAAAGCACTCCGCCCCAAAGCGATCCGCCCACTAGTTTAGTTGGTGATTTGGACGAGCTGCGTTGCCAGCAGCGGCACAACTGGAGCAACTCGACTGGAGCATGGATTGACATGGTGCCACCAAACGCGTTGCGGTAAACCCTTCCATATATCTCTCGTACTTGAGCGAAGATGAACGGGTCCCTTTTTGTGTTATTTTGGCGGATACTTCCGCGGCAATGGCGTACTATTAAGCACATCGACGCCCCTGTAAACCCCTTAAGGACCTGTCGTGCTAGCTGTCTTTAATGAGAGCCTCGAAAAGGGAAGTTCGCGGAGAAACAGTCATCCAATTTTTCTAAGGGAGTACTGGATGGATTTTTCAAAGCCCGTGAAGGTTTACTCACCGGTGGCGACTTGTATGCTCCAACAGAAGCGTTGAAGACGATGTTCCCACCACTAAAAAAAATCAAAATTTAAGGCGCTGATTTTCGGCAAACCTGTAATGATGTTTATGATGTGTTTATGTCCATGCAAAGTTTTTAACGAGAATCTAGTCTGGGAACGGAAAATCTACTGAAAGTGTCACTCAAAGACAAAGATCACGCTTTATGGATGCTTCTGCTGTATTTTGTGTGGACGGAACTCTTTCCCAAAACTTTATGCCACATCCAAGGCATAGAATCCTCCTTATCAATGTATTGAATAGCTAGCGTGGGCTACATAACAAGATGTTCGTTTAGAGTCCTCCTACAGCAGACCAACGTTGCCTAAAATCTCCGCAGATCTATCAGATACAGAAAATTACAAAGTACTGATATAGACCTTATATAGGTCTCTGTCTGTATGTACATATTTTGTGTGGACGAACCACTCACCAACCATTTGCTTCCGCCTGAGGCGAAATTCGCCAGTGACCCAGCATTCTCGTGCTAACTTTCGCTTAGCGACCTGCGCCCAAAATCAGCTTTTAAAGGAATCTTCCGCGGAAAAAGCTCCGCCTCCATTACCACAGAAAAACGATACCCCTTAGGCCCCTAGCCTCATGAGCATAGCAAAAAGAACGGAACATAAGCGTTAGTTTCGATAATACTAATCCTACACACAAGACAAAATGATCACTCTTTCCGTGGAAGATTCCTTTAAGGTATCGTTTTCTGTGGTAATGAGGGCGGAGCTTTTTCCGTGGAAGATTCCTTTAACAATCAGAAACAAGCATTGCACTGTATTGCACTCCCGCTTTCCAAGCCAGAAAGAAGTTAAGGGCAACACCGGTGTTTAACTAGTCCCGAAGGAGAGTGTTCGATATCTAGCATGTACTACCTTGACTTGGGGAGTAAACTCTTCCATGTACACGCACATAGTGGGGACAGTGGAAGCCGGATCATGGCCTCGCAAAGCTCCCAATAAAAAATAGCTCGTAGATGATTCGGCCGGTTGAAGTCACGCTAGCTTTACGCAATAAACGCGCAATTATAACCTCCTCGGTGTCATATCTCGGTAGGAATTTCATTCTACTGAACTTTTAGGGATAGTAGAAAAAATAAAAATTTCAATCATATTTACCCATCGTAGTGAAAAACTGTTTCTCCTCCATCCCATTTCGATCGTGAGAGTTCAGCATTCTTGTTTATGACCGTACTTTACTTTTTATTTTTTGTTTCATATTTTTTAATATTTCAAATATTTCACGCCATCAATTAATCAGTGAACCTTGAATGGAACAGTCGACTCACCCGTTCTTTACCATGTGTGGATGAACAAGCTTCGCCAATTGCCAGCCGGCTTTCACATTCACCTCAAAAAGTTTGTCCCAGATACTGTCTTCCACTTCTGAAATTGAAAAGAATGATTTAAAAAATTAGCTACCAGCATGTCATGCTCCAATACTTCCGCGCTGGTAACCCATGCTGGTAGACCCCATCAATCACCAGAACAACTCACCAAGGATGTGGCCGAAAGCCGGGTTGATTCCATGGTTGTTTATGAGAATATCGATCTTCTTAAATTTGTCAA